AGCATCACAGTGTCCTATAGAGGTCATTGCTACACTCGACAATTCTCCCACTGACCCCAACGCAAACAGAGCTTGTAATGTCTGTTAATGTGTTGTGTCTGTAAATAATTGTTGTAAGGCTGGAGGAGTTACTATGTCTGCATTATGCCAGTTAAAATACAGGGTTTCTCAATTACCTGCTTTGTTTAGAGTGTTACACATCTCTTTTCATCCATATATACACCATTGTTTACCGATCTATGGAAGAGAAATTCTAATTAATTAATACCGTTTCAGTTCTTCATGCTGTCCACTTTCATATTCTGGCTTGAACATGTCAGGTAGGACTTGAGGTCCTGTCACTGTCAAAAATGTAGCTTATTTGTCAGTGTTATTTTGTTTATGTGTTGTTGTAGCTTCCTGACCAGCAACAGAAGTTGTGCATGCTCATGAATAATCCTCTCTTCCTCTTTTGTGAAAATGGGTTTTATCATTCTGAAATAATTACAGACTATTTGGAGTTATGATGGGTGCAAAGCTAATCTAGAGGTACCCAAGATTAAACATTAAATGGCTGGAAATTAGCCAAATGACCAGCCATGGGCACTTTAACAAAGGAGGAAAACCCCCATTAAAAAAAAAAAAACTGTGTATGCATGGACTAAGCCTTAATTCCTGAAAGTAGAGCCTGGAATAAAAAATAGGTTAAGAAATGAAATAGACAGACAAATCAGTGCTCAAACATATTGCCAGCTACAGGTTTGGTAAAGAAGACTAGAAACCTGGTTACTCATCCAATTGATTACTGGCTGCTTTTGTGTCAGTCCTGGCCTGAGTCATTAGCTCTTTCCTTCATGTCTTCTGCTCTGTTTTTCTTCAAGTCCAAATTCACATTTCTTTTTTTCTACAACTCTTAAATGTTACTGAAGCTGAATCAAATCATGACTCACTGCACAGAGCTTTCAGCAACAGCCTTCTATCTACCTATAAAACTATGAACCAACTTTGTCTCAGGAAGGGTATTGTGAGACACTGCCTGACTAAATCCAACATCATTTTAGGCTCCGGGGGTCTGAATAGATTCGGTATATGAAGATATATTAGATGAAATATACACTGGCATTGTATCAGCCATGGGCAGTATGTTCTGCAGGCAGAAATGTTTTACATTTTTAGTGTAAAACACATGCATCACATCTTGAAGTGTATACTCATACATTTTGCTCCACGCCCATACACTTAATATAAATGTACACTACCAGCTGTTATCCATGCAAGTACTCTCCATGTTTTATAAAATCTAAGCTGTAAAATGTGTTCCCAACATTTCAAACTATAGGTGAGAAACACAAGAAGTTGTTAAATTGTCATCCTACTAATGAAAATGAAAGAAAATAGGGTTTTAAATGTCAGTGTGAGTCACTGTAAAAGTCAAGAGACAAGACTAACATTACACACTTCCAACTGTGCTTAACCATAGTTGTTGGATGAATTGCATTCATTATATCATAATGTTTCTTGTGCACTCTTTGGAATTCATTATCAGATTATACAATAAACAGCAGCAGAACAGTTGTGAGCTGGACAGTTCAGTAAAAAACAAAGTTCCTGCACTTGTTTTACTTTGCATCTTTCTCTGCACAAAAACTTCAGAGGAGTTGTTCCTGTCGAATATCACAGTCAGCCTCTGCTAGGGATGTCCATGAATAATCAATTGGCCGATTAGTTGAAAAGGTCAATGTTGTCGAATATTGAAAAAAAAAAAGACATTTATTTTAGAGAAGTATTCTGCCTGTACACATTTAAGACACTAAACTAAAGTTATGACACTTCTTCCTGTCTGCTATGAACACATGGAGAACAGATAATAATAATAATAATAATAATAGTTTATTTATATAGCACTTTACAACTCCAAAGGAGCACAGGGTATTTCACAACAGAACATGTGTACGTTAATGGAAAAACACTACTAAAACAATAAGACAGAGAGAATATCCGACAGGTATGGAGGAGCGAGGCCATTCATGGACTTAAATACAAATAGTAGCATCTTGAGTCAACTCTAAACTGTATTGGCAACCAGTGGAGCGAGAGAAGCACAGGGGTGATGTGAGCGTCCCTGGGGGTGTTCGACAACAGTCGAGCCGCAGCGTTCTGAACCAGCTGAAGCTTTCGAAGAAGAGATTGAGAAATTCCAACATAGAGAGCATTACAGTAGTCAAGTCACGATGTGATGAAAGCATGGATAGCTTTTTCTAAATCTGCATGCGATAAAAAGGGCTTTATCTTCGTTAAGAGTCTCAGGTGAAAAAAGCTGGTTTTAACCACAGATCTGATCTGTTTATCAAAATTAAGGCAGCAGATGGGAGACACACTGATCAGCCATAACATTATGACCACTGGCAGGCAAATTGAATAACACTGACTACCTGTTACAGTGGCGCCTGTCAGTGTATGGGGTACATTAGGCAGCAAGTGAACATTCAGTCCTCAAAGTTGATGTTGGAAGCAGGAAAAGCAGGCAAGTGTAAGGATCTGAGTGACTGACAAGGACCAGACTGTGATGGTGAGATGACTGGGTCAGAGCATCTCCCACACTGCAGGGCTTGGGGGGTGTTCTTGGTCTGTAGTGGTTAGTACCTACCAACAGTGTCTAAGGAAGGACAAACGGTGAACTGGTGACAGGGTCATGGACACCCATGGCTCACTGATGATGAGGCTGACCTACTGTAGATATAACTTTTAACTTCTATTTGTAGTTTTCAAAAGATTAACATTTATTTGAATCTTTGTTAAATTGGTTAAAAATGAGAAATGCTGTACATTGGTGTCTATGAAGAGAAAGAGTCAGGGGCTGTAGTGGTGATATCACACCTAGAGTGGTGAGGCGGCTGAATTTGTCTAAAAAAATTCTCTCTAACTCGTCCTCATGACCACAGTTTTCATTACTTTTACATAAGTGGTTCACTGAATTGTAGACACATCTGTGATCTTCCTGACAGTAGAACTGTGGAAGCAAATGGATTCACAGAAGATGGACAGTGAGATGCAGAGTGA